GACTGACCTAGGGTGAATTTTTAAATAGGGACAATTTTTAATGATTTTAAACAAGACACAGCTACAAATATTTGGTTTTTAATTGGCTTTTATAGGGAAATGTTTTGTATTGTTTTTAATATGCTGTGAGCCGCCCTGAGTCCCATGGGGGAGAAGGGCGGCATATAAGTCTTATTATAAATAAATAAATAAATAAATGATGGGCATGTTGTTCCATTAGGGCGGTAACTCGAGGACTACCTGCAAATAATTCTAAACTTGCGTTGGCGTCAGATCAGGCTTGCGGCATTCCTACACCTGAAGGAACAATGGCTGCTATAGTTTGCCTCTTCTTGTTCTTGAAGGGTTTGCGTCTTTTTAAGCGAAGCAAAGGAATCGTCAGGGTCTTCGAGAGTCAGGTGGCCTACAAATTTGGTATTTTTTATTATATACAGATTATTATTAGGGTATTACTGTTCTTTTTCTTCTTCTCTTTTTCTAGATTCACCCACAGCGAGAATCCACCCCCCTCAAGGAGTCATGAGGGAAGGAGACACCTTAGTTTTGACTTGCGCTGTTAACGGCAACCCACTGTAAGTCCTTCTTCCAGATGGGAAAAAAGCAAATTTTGGACTTATTTTGGTGGCAACAAGAAAGAACCTGGTGCAGAAAACCAGGCAGCTTTGAGATCCTGTTTTGGGGAAAGGAAGTTCATGATTGTGGTGGCTGGTTACCATGCTCTTTAAAAAAAGAAAAGAAAAGAAAAGAAAAAGAGCGATTTTTACTGACATTTATTAAACCCCCAAATCCGGTGCTGAGAAAAGCTGAAATTGGCCACCCCTAACAAATGAGAGAGCTGCCAAGTGAGATATTGGAATATTTTGGGCTTCATCAACCAAGGGTATTGATTATTAGACCAGATCTGCCTCTATCTGCATTTGTACTAAAACAATATATCAGAAACCCAACTTTTCACAAAAGACCCTTTTAATGGGGGAAGCAGTTTCTGATCAGCCAACCTGGGAACCTCGGAGATAACTTGTAGATTTCTGATTGCTAGCTAGCATGGCCAACGGCCATGGATGTGGGATTCTGGAGCAGTGCTTCTCGACCTTAGCAACTTTAAGCTGTGCGGACTTCAGTTCCCAGAATTCCCCAAACAGCATGCTGGGAAGTGTGGGAGTTCTAGTTCTGCCTTAGGCATGAAAGCCGGCTGGGTGACTTTGGGCCAGTCACCAGGAGACAGTGAATTCTAGTCTCACCTTAGGCATGAAAGCCGGCTGGGTGACTTTGGGCCTATCACCAGGAGACAGTGAATTCTAGTCCCACCTTAGGCATGAAAGCCGGCTGGGTGACTTTGGGCCAATCACCAGGAGACAGTGAATTCTAGTCCCACCTTAGGCATGAAAGCTGGCTGGGTGACTTTGGGCCAATCACCAGGAGACCGTGAGTTCTAGTCCCGCTTTAGGCATGAAAGCAGGCTGGATGACTTTGAGCGTCACTCAGTCCAACCCGCCTCACAGGATTATTGTGGGAAAAATAGGAGGAGGAAGAGTTATTAGGTATGTTTGCTGCTTTGAGTTATTTATCAAAATAATAAACACAGGATAAAAATTAAATAAATAAATGTCTCGCCCTATCTGTAGCCCAGGATATAGGATGTCCTAGAATAGAGTTGGGCAGATTTTAAATTTGAAGGCTCTGCCCTTTTTTAAAAAAACTTAAGATTTCAAGGTCCATTAACTGCTTCCATTTCTAAAATAAGATTTTTGGGTTTGAGCGTAGAGTCAAATGCAAAATGGAGGGTGGAGAGGAGACGGTCCAACTATGGATTGCGCTCAAAGTTGCTGGAGTGGAATGCCAAAACACAGTGTTTCTCAGCCTTGACCACAGCTGGCTGGGGAATTCTGGGAGTTGAAGTCCCCTCCTCTTCAAGTGGTCAAGATTGAGAAACTGCCATTACAGATATATGGTGGTCAACTTCAAGACTCACGGAGTCCTGCCACTCCCACTGTGCAAATCTTAATTTCTACCCTTCGATTGGTCAAATTTAAGTGACGGGGTGCAATATTTTTTGTTTGCCCCTGTAAACCAGCAGAGAACCTTTTCGATCTAGCGCAAAAGATCCCAATCTTTTCCAGGCGATGTTGAAGTCAATTTTGACTTCTCTCTGTCTTGGAGCATCAGCTGTTTCAGAGACGGTGCGTGCAGGTGTGAAAAATGAGACATGGGCGATAGCTGTTGGTGGCAGGTGCACCTCTGAGTCACTTTTCTCCTCCGACGATTGGGTTTGGCATGTTTTCTATAACCTTGGTGAAGGAGATGCAATTTGATAAATAAAAAAAAAAGAATAGGCAAAGGGAGGACATGAAACAGACCCTGGCTTGTTCCCTGCCCTGTGTGTCAACAATTCTGGTCTGTATTTTGCTGCTAATGCCAACAGGCACAAGTGGAGAAAAGATGTCTGTCCTGGGCAGATTGGCTTTGAAGATTGGCTTTATTGCATTTAACCAATCAGCAATAGATAATTGCTGGACATGGATATTTGATCCGGGATCAATTTGGCTTAATTTTTTTTTAGGATGATTTTGGATTGAAGCTACAGTAAATTTTTCACAAGTCGATGAGCATAACAGTTTGTTAACAGGGGTTTTGGTGATTTTAATCTTTTTTTTCATTATTACGGATAATCTTTATTATTTTTATATCCTTATATATTATTCGTATCAGTATTATTATTATTATTATTAAATCCAATTTATATCCCGCCCTTCTCCTTGCGGACTCAGGGCGGCTGACAATCGATTAAAATACACAAATAACAATTACAAAATTAAAATTAATTAAAAAGAAATATTTAAACATAGTCCAATTAAAATATAATTAAAACCCCTCTAAAAATTACCCTAGGCCAGTCCTGCAAGATGGAATAACCAAGTCTTAAGGGCACGGCGGAAGGAAGGGAGATCAGGGATGACCCTGATCTCTGGGGGCAGTTCATTCCAGAGGGTGGGAGCTCCCACAGAGAAGGCCCTCCCCCTTGGGGTCGCCAGCCGGCACTGTCTGGCCGACGGCACCCTGAGGAGACCCACCCTGTGGGAGCGTACTGGTCGATGGGAGGTAATCTGCGGCAGGAGGCGGTCTCGAAGGTATCCGGGTCCGATGCCATGGAGCGCTTTAAAGATGATAGTCAACACCTTTCCTGTGAACCATTTTGTCATTGATATAAAATTCTTTTGGCCTGTTTCATAATGGGTGGGAGATTAACATTGATGCATTGTATTAATCAACATTCAATTAGGAAGGATGCTGTAGGTATATGTGTTAACCTTTTTTTTAAGGACACTTTTTTAATGTTGTGGGTTCCTTCCTCTTTTTTCTTTTTTTCAATATTTTGATGTTTTTTATATATTTTTTTAATAAATGGATTTTTTTTTTAAAAAAAAAAGATTCCTCTCCTGGGCATAGTTACCATCCATATAATAAAGCCAGCAATTTCGCCTAAATGCCTGCCTGTCCCATTAGGGTCTTGAGGCCCAAATCCTCAATTTTTTTCCACCCTTTTGTGAACAAGCTGTCCTTGCCGCTCTCCCTGACCCGCCTGACTGATGGGTACAATTCCTGAGCAGAGTTATTACTCAGAGTGCCCCTTGATCCAACTGCTGCCTCACGTGTCCATCCATCACCTGGTCTGGCAGCAAATAACCTTGAAGAGAAAGAGCTGCTGTTTCAAAAGGGAGGTGTGTGGAGGCGGCAAGGATGCTACCCTAGTGGCCAGAAGGGGCTGGGGGGACGGTGAGGCAGGGGCTAATAGATTTTTGGGGTGCCCCTTTCAGGCCCAGAGACATTAAATGGAGCCGAGCGAACGACACGTTGCCGGAGCGGGCCCTGATAGAGGGTGAAGTGCTGACCATCCCCAGCCTCAGCATGCTGGATAACGGCACCTACTCGTGCCACGTGGCCAATAAACATGGACGGTCCTCGGACCAGTACGTGCTGGTGGTTTATGGTGAGTAAGCAAAATCTTCGCAGCCTCCTCAACCCAGAACCCCATGTTCCAGATCTTCCGGCAGTTGTTCCATTTGGTCTTCGTGGTCCCAGACCCAGTTCTCGCACTTGGGCCTAGGACAGGGGTGGGGAACTTCGGCTCTTTTATGACTCGTGGACTTCAACTCCCAGAATTCCTAAGCCAGCATGGCTCAGCATGGAAACCTCTCCCTTTCCCCTCAGCATGGCTGGCTCAGGAATTCTGGGAGTTGAAGTCCATGAGTCATAAAAGAGCCAAGGTTCCCCACCACTGGGTCTCGGACAACTCGCCCCTGCCAATTCGGCGTGGGACAATTTGCCACGGAACATGAGTTACGCCGATATCGCAAAAATAGTGGAATAGAATCATTAAAGAAAGGACGCCAAAAGAGGGACGGGAGGAAAGGTGAAGGACAAAACTTAAAATGTTTTTGTAAAATTATTTTAAATCATTCAATTCAGTTGTTGAATTGTCCTTGGGCGAGTTGTCCCGTTCCATCCACTCCCCAGAGCAGGAATGCATTCTTATGCGACTTACGACAGTACTGAAAAAAAACTGACTCATGACCCATCCTCGCATTAACAACTGTCTCAGCAGCCCCACAATCTCATCCTCAGAATCTAGACACGAGGCAACTGGCCTGTGTTTACGACACCTGCAGCATCCCAGGGTCCTGTGATCTCTCTTTGTGACCTTCCCGGCCTGCTTCCGATCAGGGAAGCTGGATTTGCTTAACAACCGCAGTGATTCATTTAACGACCTCAGGGTTTCACTTAACAACCCTGCCAAAAATGGTCGTACAAAATCAGGCACGAGTCGCTTCACGACCTACCTTGCTTAGCAACGGAAAAATCTGGTCCCAGTATTTCACTTTGGACAGTGGCTGAGTGGAGAAGAAGCGCCTGTTTACAGACACCCCTCACCCCCTGCCCAGTGCCTTTCACATAAAACAGCGGTTCTCAACCTATGGGTCGCGGCCCCATTTGGGGTCGATCGACCATTTCACGGGGGTCGCCAAGCAAGGCTGTCCGCCATTTTTTTGTCCGCCATTTTTTCCCCTTTTCTGGCGGGTGCCTTACCTCCCTTGGGCTGGGCCAGCTGGTGGTCAGCCTGCTCCGTCTCTGCCGCTTGCCAGCTACGCCTCGGCCGGTGCAGGGGGCGGAACCACGCATGCGTGGCGCTCCCGGGCAGGGAAAGTCCTCGACTTACGACCGGTTGGGTAGTCCTCGACTTACAACCGGTTTAGTCCTCGACTTACAACCGGTTTAGTCCTCGACGTACGACCGGTTTAGTCCTCGACTTACGACCGGTTGGGGGTCATGGCATTAAAAAGGTTGAGAACCACTGACATAAAACTAGCGCATGATGGGGGCCACCAGATGGAGCTGACCCCTTTTCACTCTGGGTCAGTCAGCTGTTTTGAGAACCAACTGTAAGCGCATCCTTCCAGGTCAAGGGGAACAGTTTTCTGCTGAGGCCTGAGGCGGAACTGGCTGCTGACTTGGGCCGTTGGTTCGCCGCTTCCAAGAGGGTGGCCACAGACTGGAAAAATGGAGGAGACCCCCCTTTTTTTTTCTTTTTGCAAAGCAGGGCAATTCTTGCAAGAGACATTTCCACCTCCAGTTCCTGCCTTCAGCACCTTCCTTCTCCTTTGCAGATCCTGGGGCTATTGTCGAGGCCCAGACTTCAGTGCCCTATGCCATTGTGGGGGGCATCCTGGCTCTCCTCGTCTTTCTCGTCATCTGCGTACTCATCGTCATGGTCTGGTGCTCCATCCGGCAGAAAGGTTAGTAAGGGGAACCCAGGAGGGTCTCTTAGTGACCTCGCCTCTCACCGCTGGCCAATGAAGGGGAAGCTGGTGTCGTTTTTCAGATTGCTTCCAAGTGGGCATTGCAAGCATGTATTTGGGGTGTTGAGCGTTGGGTTGAGATGCTAAATGCCAGGTGGGACCAGCTTCGCTCGTTGTCTTCCCCCTTGGGAAAGTGGGAAGCAGGACACAGCAGCGCTCTGCAAGCCACCCGGTGTCAGAGTCAAACTCTAAGACATAGAACCAACACAGCCAGGGGAAGCGTCCTAAGACCCATTCACCTGCTCTGCCTTGGCCTCTTCTACACCGCTGTCAGCACCAGCTCTTTCTTCTCCTTGGCACCTGAAGGCAGAAGGAGAAACAATAGATGGAATCTAATCCAGGAGAGAACCAAGCTAGAACTAAGGAGAAACTTCCCGACAGTAAGAGCAACTAATCAGCGGAACGACTTTCCTCCAGAAGTTGTGTGTGCTCCAAACCTGGAGGCTATTAAGAAGAGATTGGACAAACATTTGTCTGAAATGGTATAGGATGCCTGAGTAGAGGGATGGACTAGAAGACCTTCAAGGTCCCTTCCAACTCTGTTATTCCGTTATTCTCACTGTGGTCACTGAATGCAGAGACCAGGTACCACCGAGTGGAAGAAGGTAGTGGGTTGGTGTCCAGTGGTACTCACTGTGACACCATTATTATTATTATTATTATTACTATTATTATTATTATTATTATTATTATTATTATTATTATTATTATTACTACTACTACTACTACTACTATTATTATTATTATTATTATTATTATTATTATTATTATTATTATTATTATTATTGATCATCGCACAGTCAACCAGATGTTCAGACTGGATTTGGCATTTTTGTCTACCTATCGAGTCCTTACCAAGGACCTGGGATAGGCAGATGTGGATGTTTGATGGTATTACAGATATCATCGCAGGATGGAAGCAGTTCCTAGTAAGGCCGCCTTTTGCAATTGACTAATAGTGAATTTGTCAATGCCAATGGTGTTCAAGTGGTGCTCCAGTTGTTTTGGGATTGCACCCAAGGTGCCTATTACTATTGGTACTACCCTTGCTTGCTTTTGCCACAGTCTTTCTATTTCTATTTGTAGGTCTCTGTATTTTGTTATCTTCTCCAGTTCTTTCTTGTCTATTCTGCTGTCTCCAGGCACTGCCACATCAACTATACAGACGTTTTTGTCTTTCTTATCGACAATTGTTAAGTCCGGGGTGTTGTTGTTATTGTTGTTGTTGTTGTTAATAATAATAATAATAATAATAATAATAATAATAATAATAATAATAATAATAATAATAATAAAGTTGGAAGGGACCTTGGAGGTCTTCTAGTCCAACCCCCTGCTCAGGCAGGAAACCCTATACCATTTCAGACAAATGGTTGTCCAGTCTCTTTTTTTTTTTAAATAAATTTTTATTAATTTTTATAATTAAACAACAAA